TTCAAATTCCATTTGCCTTTGTGGAAGCCTTTATTTTTTTTTTCTTAGTACAGGTTTTTTTTTTTTCCTTCCACTTTCTTCTCCTTTTAGAGTTCTGCCTTGTTAAAAGTCTTTACTTCTAAATATGAGTAGTCAGGAGTTCTTAATGCCACCATTGCTCTATGGAAATGGTTATTTTTGTCTGAAGAACACCTTACCGCTGAGGGGAGGGGTGGCTTTTTCTGGTAACGGCGCTAACACAGGAACAGTTTGGACTCTCACCTGTTGCCACTGACTTAGGGCTGATTAATGGTAAGACTGAAGTTTTACAGATGCCAAGGCTTGGGAGTGATCATTCCTCCTGTGAGGGGAGAAGGCTGTGTGTCACGCTGTCTTAAGAGCACACTGCACCTGAAGGGGGATTAGATTTTATTGTTTGCACTGCTCTCTTGACAGCTTTTCTTTGGAGCATCCCATGCAAGAGACTCTAGGATTGCCAGAAAGCCACGTGAAAAGGATCCAAGTCTCTGTCTAATCTGTGAGAGTCTGTGATGGTTCGTGGACAAGGAATAAAGCAATTAAGGCAATGTCAGGTTAAATACAAGAATTCAACCCATAAATTTTGGTTTGAGGAAAAATGCAGGAAGGTTATTAGAATTCTTGGAGGTTGAGTTTGGGCAAAACTGCTAAAAAATGGTAAGGAGGAATCACTTTCCTCTCTCTTTTTCTTTCCCAAGATTTATAAAAAATGAAGTACGAGTTTCCAAACCTATCTGGCTGTGCCTCCCTGATAACCATCTTTTTTGAGCTAGACTATGTATCTATAAGGCCTCCCTATGGAGGACCCAGACCAAGAGTCACTTGGATCAAGTAAGTCTCCCCAAATACACAATAAGACAGTAATGACCTTGACCTTCTCCTTCCCCAGCCCTCATTCTGCTTTAAGGGAGAAAGCATTTTTAAGTTAAAAAAAAAAATACGTATTGTGTTGACTTTTTTAGCTTTTTCCTCTTTCAAACCAAAACCAAGAGAATCTTTTTAAAGAAGCGGAGCGAGGGGCAGGGGCCGAGTACAAACAAGTAAACCAACCTGCCTGACCTGCTTTCTTCTTTTCAAGTATCCAGTAATATGATCATTTTGTAATAAATAACTGAGCTCTACACCCTTTGGGAAATTCTGGCTCCCTGTTTCTTCAATTGTGGCTACTTTGTTCAGAGTGTGTAGGCAGTGCCATTCTAGCCGGAGAAACCAGATCAAATTTCCTTCCTTCTTATTTGTATTGTTTGTGAAAAGCCCAGCAGTTGTTTTAAATAAGTCTGGCCTCTGGTTAAAGTTTAAGCTGGTAGGGAGATCCATCCAGAACGGAGTGTTTCTGACACTCTCCACTGCTCCTGGCCTAGGGTACTAAGAGTATGAGACCCCAGAAGCAGCCAATTTTGTAGTGCCTTTTAATACACAAAATTGTATTAACATCAACATGGATACAGATGGATGCACTGCAATAAACTGTAACCACTTGAGAAAAGCCTTTATTGACTCTCAAGTAAATAATGCACATTTTAAAGGATCTAAATATGCATTTACATAATGTGCTATAATTTTTTATTGTGTCAACTGCTCACACACGCACACATCCATAAGAGATGTTTTTCTCTGTCAAAAATTTGGACTGAGACCATTCTTTGTGCATTGCATTAGCACCACGCCAGATTCGTAATGTTAGAATTCTCAAATGGTAGTTTCTCTTCTGTAGGACCCCTGATCGGAAGATCTTGACGTACGTTTAATGAATTTTACAGATTGAGTGAGTGATTGATTTCACCCCAACGAAACTTTCTAAAATGATTTGAGGCTACTTCGACAAAAACTTAGGCACACTGAAAATGTCTAATTCAAGGTAAAAGAGAGAAAACAAGAACTAGGAAATAAGAAAATCCAAATTTAGATGTTGCTGAAGCCTGAGCTTTAGAGAACGAAAGAACATGGGTCTTGTCCAGTAAAAGAGTAATACTAGCAGTTTATCCAGAGAAATAGCATGTTTTTAATAATATTTAACAGGACTGTGTAGTGTCTGTAACACAACTATTTTCTGTTTGAAGAAATTAAAGCTCAGGATCTTGAATGATTTATATACCCAGTTCCACAATGAACTAATGGCTGAACCAGAAGTCCAAGGCATGAGAAAGTGAGGGCTGTGAGGGATAACCCTTTGAAATGCAGACTCAGCAATTGCCTAATTTGAAACTACAGGCTAAATGATTTCCTGGTGCTAATTAAGAATTAATTGGTCCCTATAAGTCAGTCATTGCAGAATTAATTTCATGTAGTACCATGTGTTCTCAGGTTTGTGTTAAACTCTGGGCCACAAGGAAAATGTGAATTGTTTTAGTAAAATATAATAACGAAACTAACGTCTAAATTTAAGTTGCTAATGGTGTTCTTTTACATATTAAGCAATAATAACAAAGAGGGCTAGGATGTTTATTAGCAATTAAAGGAGGGATTCCAAGATCTGTTGAATTCTTCCCTCTATCACCTTTCTTTAACTATTATCCGCCTGATCTTCACTCAAGTGAATATTTTCCCTTGGGCAGCATTCTCTGTTGGCCACCACAATTTTTCATAATCAAACAATCATTTATCACTTTCCATTGAGCACCTGAAGCACTGTCACTTTATCATTAAGGTCAGCTTGCTGGGGACTCTTGACAAGGGAGTTCCCACCTTTGTGTTTGACAAGCTGCCGAAGTCCAATGTATCACTTTGTTATGCTTAGTACATTCCCAGCCTTGTTTGGGAAATGCCACATTCCATCCCTGACTAGAAACTATTTGGTCAAATGCAGGGTGCGGGGTCAAATTTTCTTGCTACCAGCAAAGACAACCATACCATATTAGATGAACAAAAACTCCTTTGGTTCTTTAAAGCACAATTTGCAAAGTAAGAGATGACCAGAGCCATTTAACTTCTTCGCTTGTGGGTGTTAACTCAGAGACAATAACGGATCCCTAAACTCTCTGGCTTTTTGCCAGGTGGGAAAAAAAACCAAAGTTTTAAGTCTGTCTGTATGGTTCTTGATTTCTATACCACTCTTGTATTCAGTCGATCATTGTACATTCAACTAATACTTATTGAGTACCAGACACTGTTCTGGGGATATGACAGTGAACAATTAAATAGGTAGAAAAGCTATTTTCTAAGACGGGAAAGATTGGAAGAAGAGCAAGTATTAAGGATGGAAGATGACAAGAATTCTGGTTTCACTAGGCTGTTTTCAAGATGCCCTCAATTTATTTTTTTATTTTTTAATTGCCAGAGAGAGAGAGACAGCGAGAGATCCCTCAGAGACAGAGAAAAACACAAGCAGGGCGGGGGGCGGGGGGGGAAGGGGAGAGTGGGAGAGGGAGAAGCAGGCTCCCCGCTGAGCAGGGAGCCCGATGCGGGGCTCATCCCAGGACCCTGAAATCATGACCTGAGCCGAAGGCAGTCGCTTAACCAACTGAGCCACCCAGGCGCCCCAAGATGCCCTCAATGGTATGATTGAAGATAAAATTTTGTCTGTGTTGGCCCACTGTTGTATCCCATGCCCAGAGTAGAAACTCATCAATGTTTATTGGATAGATTAAAGGTTGTGTGAATGAAGATCATCTGCAAGGCATGGAATAGACTATTGCTTCCACTCCAAACCCTCATTTTCACTCTTTAAAAACTACAGATACTGTTCTGAACCTCAAAGTCCTAGCCATTTCAGTTATTAGAAAGTGCCCCAATACTAAAGACATCCCAGTAGGGAACAAAGAACCCATGCCCAGTGTATCAGTGGGGATGTATGATTTGTACAGTCCTCAGCCATGCTTATGGGGTAGTGGTAGGAAGTGTGGCCTCTCTTGCTTAGTTTGCTCTACAGTTTTATGAGTCACTCTCGGTAAGACTCTCGAAAGTCTTACTCTCCGAAAACTGGGCCATTCCTTTGTTTGGTCTTTGCAGGGACTCCCTGAGTTTGAAGACTTAACTGCAAAGAGTAAGGCAAGATAAATATTCTCACTTGCTTTTATCTGAGAGCCGTTTCTCTGGCCCTCACTGAGAAGTAAGAGCTGCTACCTTGGCGTTACTGGTTTGAGTGTCCCCAGTCTTTCCCATATGCTGCTCTTCTTCTCCAGCAGATTTTATCAATCACCCTTCCAATTCAAGGGCAGAAGTTCTCTCAGAAACATTATCAAGCGGCTCACATAAGTTTTTTAATCTAGTGTAATCTTCTTGTACAAATAAAATTTAGCAGGGCTCAAATAAAAAGGAGTAATAGTTGTCTGAGTTCTTTTATCAATTTTTATGGGCAGAAGGCCCACAGTTGAGCAGGGGTCACTGCCTGCTCAGCCTGTGGGTTCCCCTTCTCTAATATTTATGCATTTCTGAGTTTGGCTTTGAAATGGCCAAAAAAAAAGGGTGGGGGGGCTATGTAAACTTCCCATGTAAAGTGAGGCACCCAAATTGCACAGGTTCATTAAGTGATCATTTACTACATACTTCAAAAAAATTTCATCCTGTATTAGTCCCTAGAAATTTCCTTGAAAGGGGTATAAGAGCTTTAACAATGAATTATTGTCTATGGGTTAGCTCAGCATGAAAGAGGATCCATATGTGCAAACTAGAACTTGTCATATGTAATGTCAGTTAAATCAGGTCTAATCTACCAAATACATTTTTTATTGCTTGCTTCATTAAAAAGGCTCTTAAGGTAATGAATAATCTTCAGCTTCACCAAGGATTATTAATGCCTTTATAACTCATGTCCACTGAAAATGGAAAGACAGCCTGAAATCCTACCCTAATCTAACCTCCATGTTTGTCTTAGAGCCTTAAGGAAGAAAATCTATCAGACCTATCCAGTGTTAAATTCAGCCAAATGAACAGTGCCATGAGTTGGGTCAGGAAAGAAAGGAAAAAGGATGTTGCATCGAGCTTAGACGCTGTGGCAAAGCGGGCCTTTCTCTTCATGACTCTGACGTTTTCTTTTCCTACAGCAAGCCCGCACGCAACACCGTCGACTCTTCATTTCCCGACATCGCCCATTATCCAGCAGCCCGGGCCTTACTTCTCTCACCCAGCCATCCGCTATCACCCTCAGGAGACGCTGAAAGAGTTTGTCCAACTTGTCTGCCCTGATGCTGGTCAGCAGGCTGGACAGGTGGGGTTCCTCAATGTAAGGAGACCTCTTTTTTTTTCTGATTTCTTTAGAAATATTAACCGAATGTAAAAATAACAAGGGGAGACCTTCTGACCACGTGACACGGTGCTCTAATGTTGTGCTGACGGACTGCAGGCAAATGTCATATTTATTCTAGATTGTGGGAAAGTTAACTTGCTCTAAGAGTGATTGGCCAGGGTTTAAAAAGTGTTTGTGTTAAGTTCGCAACTGTCAAGTTTATGGATATAAATCATCTCAAGGGTGAACCATATAACCTTCTAAGGTCTGTGGGCTGATAATTCCACCTCATGCACACTAACCCTTGGGCTCACACAGTTAACAAAATAGAAAGACCAAATAATTTTAAATAATGATTTGGGGTGGTAGGGAGAGGTAGGGGGACAAGGGGGGCACAGATGTTTCAGATCAACTAAGTTGAGATTTTTTTAAAAATACAGTCTTCTAACACTTTAGATCAAGTTGACCAGTACTTGAACTCAAGATGCTAGAAGTACAGTTTATTATGGTTTGTTATTTCTGCAAGTAGTTATCTTTCCCACTTATCTTTGTATAAAGCTAAACAGTATTCAACAGCTTCGAATGAATGTTTTCATTTTTTCCCTGATAAACCAAATAATCACAACTTGAGACAATATTCCAAACGTACAAGTGATTTTTAAAGATCACAAATTTTATTTCAGAGTTGAACTGTTTACAGTTGGATAGCTGTATCCCAATGCCACTAATAATAATAATGAATAGTAAATAATGACCAGCATAAAGCCAAATGTGATCTTCCTTTTCTCTTAAGAGCTCCGCGTGAAGCCACAGATAAGGGGTCATTATTACTGCCTAATTTAGAATATCATATCACACGGCCCTATCACTGATTTTTCCTCCCTTGCAGAAATACCTGATTCTGCATATCTGAGACAGAACAGGCAGCTTTGACTAATGTCTGGTGATGTGTTAGCAGATACATTTCTGTCTAGACAACAAATCAATATGGGGCCTTTTTTCTTTTTGCTTGTGTATTCATTTGCTTGGCTTATTCTAAAGCATTCACTTATGGACTTTTAGCCCACTCAGAAATAACACACAGGCAGGTTTGCTGGCAAGAAAGCAGAGCATTCTGATTGTCAGACGAGATAGTCTTTGAGGAACAATACTAAATATATAAGACAATGTGGATGAGGGGCTGGCTGAGGCTGCCTCTGTGGAATTATTAAGCTTAAACTTAAAAGCCTGGGACAACTGGTTCTCCTTCACCTGAATGTTGATTCGGGACAACAGGCTAAATACCAGCTGCGATTATTGGTCATGTACAGTGTCACTAAAGTCTGGAGTCAGAAAGGCCACATGGGAGACCATGAAAGATCTGAAATGATCACCAGCATCAAGCATCTGACTTTTAAATTTCTAACTTTTTTAAAAATAGTCCTGACATTCTCCTATATAACTGTCAAACTCCCGGTTTTGCATTTTGATCAAAGTTTTATAGGGTTTAAGGCAGTTCTCTTCATGGGACTGTTTTGAAAAACTTGAAAATAAAATGGATTTTATTGCTTTCTTCAGAGGGGGAGCTTTCTTTTGTCAAAGAGCTGTTATTTGGTTGTTCTAACATCAGGCAGCCAAATAAATACGACTGTTATAGCATATGCTTATATAATTTAAATCAAAATTAGAAGTGATATTTTTCCCTAGCAGAATTTTGACAGCTCAATTCTAAAGTTTCTGTGCCTGATGTTATACAATATGTGAAAGAAATTTTTTATGTTCACTTAACATATTTATTAAATGTTATATAATATCAACTTTGAGGAGTGAAAATAAAATATTATTTTTAATTTCAAATGCGTATTTGGGAAACTTCATTATATCTGTATAAGTAGACAGTATGGAATAATTCCACAACCTATAAAACACTTATATATTAAATAAATAATAATCGTGAGAATGATGATGAAGGTAGCAGTTAAGACAGAAGTGAAACATTCCAAGCAAAAGTTGGCAGGTCGTTTTAGGGAAGCAGGAGGTAGAGAAGGTCAGAATAATTCAAGAGATAAGTTTAGGCTCCATTGAGCATGTGTGCCTGACACTATGCTTTTGTGAAATGCCTTAAGAACAACCCAACAGTTTTTTGTCTATATGCTCTGAAGGAAGAATTCAAGCAGCTAGAATACTTTGTAATTTTACATAAGAGATAACCAATGCATCTTTCGGTTTCAGAAGCAGCTAACAGTTGGTATCTGTTTCTTCTTTTTCTTCTGCATGTTTTGTTTTGCTCCCGCCCTCACAGCCCAATGGGAGTAGCCAAGGCAAAGTGCACAACCCATTCCTTCCCACCCCAATGTTGCCACCGCCGCCGCCACCACCGATGGCCAGGCCTGTGCCTCTGCCAGTGCCAGACACAAAGCCTCCGACCACGTCAGCAGAAGGAGGTGCAGCCTCCCCCACCTCACCAAGTAAGTATGGCCGAGACAAGGCGCCGGTCACTTACCAAGCTCTGTTTACTTGAATCCTCATTTAAGTGTGGTCCCTAACTGCATAGGCTCTAGCGATAGGTCCAGATCCCCAGTGATGGTGATAGCATGAGTTTGCAGAGCCAAGACCAGATCGCAGTGAACACCACTCTGGGGTACTATCAGCTACACCAGATGTGGAAATATCTGGGTGTTTGGGTGGGATAAAGTGGTGTGACTACATGCCCAAGACTGAAATCTAGATATGACTATTAAATTTTGCATATTATTTGAGTGGCTTTGAATGCTCTCCTCATGATCATCAAACAGCATCCACTTGCATGAATTCCTATTAGCAAAAAAGTTCCTTTTACTTTTGTGTAGCCCTGTTATAACTTACCGTCCAAGAGAAATTCACTTGATGAGCTATAAAGGCTGTGCACCTCATACATCAAATAGGTAAAAAAAAAAAAAAAAAAAAGTTTAAATGAAAGTAACAAGTCAAAGGTGTGTGCCTTGAACACTCACCAAGAGTAGGAGCCTAGCAGAAGATCAGAGCTGGTAACCATGGAAGTTGCATGGCCAGGTGTGGTGGGGGGAGGAGATCGAAAGTATAATTGGGTGGAAAGAGAAAAGAACTCTTGACTGTCCTCTAAATAGTATGGGAACATGTGATCAGACAATATGAGATTTCCAAACTTTTTTAGATGATAGGAATGATGACTTGTTGAATTAGAGGGATAGTCCCCGATATTTCAGAGATGACAAGGGAATAGAAATAGCTCAAACACACAAATTTGACTTTTATTAGTACCTGGAACAATGTCAAAAAGAGTGATGACCAGAGGCAGAGTTCTGAGGTGATGGATGGACGACCCAATTTTGACAGAGGGTGTGATAAACACCTCCCTAAAGCTTTACTGAGGGATCAAAGTGTAGGAAAGGGTAGGAACTATGACAGTAATCCTAAGGAGAGCAGGTCTCCAAGGAGTTCTTCAAAAGTGAGACTGGAGGCAAGGAATCTACTGAGGAAAAGATTAGAGTAGACCAGGGAAAAAGTGTTAAGATCAAGAACTTGAGCAGCAGTTACAGAAGTTGAATGGAGAAGAGCACAGGAAGGGATATTTTGTAGACATAAGCTTTGGGATTGGACAGTCATTTCAATGACTACAATGAAGGATGATTCTAGGCCTCTTAGGTTCCTTACTTTCAGTTTAGGGAACATGGTGGTATTGGGTGCAGGAGGGAAAGAGCCAAAGAGGAAAAATAAGCTTCTGTTGACACTGTGGGATTTAATCCTGGGGACACTAAATCCAAAATGTCTGGAGTTCCTCGTGGACATGTCTCTGAGGGTGAACTCTGGGTTATCTAGTATTTATTCATTTTGATAACACATGTGGAAGTGAGTGGCATTGTACTTGGATTCTGGTATTACAACAGAAAGATTGAGGGTCCCAGAGGCAATTTTGTGGGGACCTACTTCTCTTGATAAGAGGTGGTTCAACATTTTTCAACGAAGAAGAAAACCCTGAGTGTCCAGTGACATAGGAAACAAACGAGGCTTGGTCTATGCAATTTGGAAGCTCAGCTTGGAAAAGAAGCTTCTGAGAAGCAGAGGCTCATAGGTGCATCCTACTTATTGTGTATTAATGTAGCATCTTCCAGCAAGTTAGAGAAATCACCATCCCCAAACCCTATTTAAATCTGGTCACTGGGGATTGGTAGTCATATAATTATTATGCCCTGTACATGCCTCCATGTGCCACTTTTCTGTTCATCTTGTGCCTATCCTTGCAGGACAATGACACAGTTCTTTAAAAGCCTTGTGGTAATACTCTGCCTATCCCATTTAAACACATCCTGCCCTACTGTACCAGTGTCTCCTACATTCATAGTGCATTTTCCAGTAACAGGGATGGGCCTCTCTGGGGCACTGTGGAAGACTAGGAATAATACCATGTGTAGTTATTAAAGACTGAAAGATAAGGACTCAAATCCCCACCTTTCACATTACTAGCTGTGTTTCTCTTCAAATCAGTTTCCTCATCTGTGGAACGTGGGTGATGATCCCTGCCTAGCAGGGTTGTGTGAAATCAGCCATGATGAGCACTACCACCAAATAAATTGGAACATTTTATTATTTGCCAAAACTCTGACCTAGTAGAGTCCCCAGGCTTGAGTAATGATGAAATAGGTCTGTAGGACACATACAGCTACTCAGCCCCTGAATCAGGTTGGAGCCTTTGGGTCCATACTTCTGGATTCCACTCCATGGATTGAATCAAGTGCCTTGTATGAGAAAGTATCTGTCACCCTGTCATGGCCAGACTCAAGCATTCCTTCAGCATTATGGGAAGAAATGTGGAGGGGGTCTTGGCAGATCCAATTCATGTGGTTGCATGTCCACTAGAACAGGGTTTGAAGATTTTGAGGAAAAGGAGAATGTCAGGAGGGAGAGGCCCAAAAGTTTGATACAAGTAATTTGATACTTTTTTTTAAAGATTTTATTTATTAGAGAGAGAGAGAGAGCACAAGCACGTGTGAGCTAGCACAAGCTAGGGGGAGAGGGAGCAGAGGGAGAAGCAGACTCCCTGCTGAGTGGGGAGCTGGGCAAGGGCTGGAAACAGGACCCTGGGATCATGACCTGAGCAGAAGGCAGACACTTAACCGACCGAGCCACCCAGACACCCATGATACTTACTTTTGGACCATATGATTATAGGAATGCAGGCAAAACAAAATGTTCTACTGGTGGCATAGAAATGCTTTTATCATCATAAAGTCTAGCCCTTGTTTCTGGGCTTTTTGGAGTTTGCTGAATTCACAATAATGTGTTATTTCACAGCAATATCTTGCCTTACTCTCTTCTCCTTTATTAATAAGACAGTGGTAGGCTGGGGGACCTGTAATTTATAGCAAAGGAGCAGCCTTTCAAATTAAAAAATATCAAAGCCCACTGGTCCACACTGGGAAGAGATTTAAGAACCTCCCTCCCCGAGCCCCCCCGCCCCCGCACACACAAAATCCTCTTCCATGCCCTGATTTCTGAACCAACTGATAAATAAAATACAAGAAAAATCAGATTGGAAGACCAGACTATCACTTCTATTATCGGAGAATCTAGTTTATAACTGTAGGCAAATGAGCTTCCTAATGCTGAATCCCCAAATTACACAGACACACCTCCAGTCATGGGCAGTGCTGGACCACCGCAGGCCTTCCCAAGTGGGGTCTGCCCTCCTATTTAGAGCCCAAAGCATGGAGATCCAGATGGCTGCATGGTGCCGGCCGGTACCTGTCTTCTTAAGAGAGAAGAGCTGGTTTCTACTTCCAAACTCTACAGTCTAGAGACTAGAAAGTGAGCAGGGGAAAGGGACCAGAATGAAATCGCCTCCCCCTCTCTTCCCATTCATCTTGATGACTACCTTCTTCCATTCGCTTAGTCAGCTCTCATTAGTGAGCACCTGTCATGTGCCAAGGACTGTGTTAGTGCTTGGGATACAGAGGTGATTAATCCCTGCTCGTCAGAAATGTGGGATCTGTGGAGGCAGACAGCTGGGAAATGGGTGGTTCACATGAGGCAACACTGGGACAAAGGCATAGGTTCTACAAGAGCCCTCGGGAGGGAGTTTGGTCCAGGCCCGGGGTCTCAGCTAAAGATGATTTTGGAGAGGGTGACTTCTATGCTATTTAGTAGGGCTCATATTCTGGTGTTTTAAATCTGAGAAAGAAGGTAGAACTTTTCTTCAGAAACCAGCCTGGTGGGGGGAGGGGATGTCTAAAGTTAGATCACCGCTGAATAAAAATTTAGGGCAAAAAATATAGTTTCATAAATTATGTGCTTTCTTAGAAATTAAAACCGTAGGGAGGTTGGATCCTGTTTATCTTTGCCAGTTTATTAGAGCTCAACTTTAGCAAGAAGAAACATCATGACAGTGTATTAAGTACAGATGTTCAACATCCCAATAGTATGTCCCAAATTGAGGCTTTTTTCAAAAACACTTATTGTGTAACCTAGGACAACTTTTCTTTTTTTTTTTAAATGAGGTTTTATTTGTTGTTTTTTTTTTTCAAAGATTATTTATTTGAGAGACAGAGAATGAGAGATAGAGAGCACGAGACGGAAGAGGGTCAGAGGGAGAAGCAGACTCCCCACTGAGCAGGGAGCCCGATGTGGGACTCGATCCCGGGACTCCAGGATCATGACCTGAGCCGAAGGCAGTCGCTTAACCAACTGAGCCACTCAGGCGCCCAGGACAACTTTTCCTATTTGGGGTTTGAGATGACTTGCAGTAAAATAAGATTTAAAAAATAAAAGTAGTAAATCATGCCAAGGGTCTCCTATATTACCAACTTTTCTGGGCCCAAATTCCCTGTTAATGGGAATATCCCTGACTGCTCTACCCACTCTCTTAGGCAGATTATCAGGACAAACTGGGGTGACAGATGCGCTCTGCTGTAGACAGTTCAGAGTCCAAGGCATAATTTTTAATATCATCTTATAATGCAATACAAATGGTTGCCAGCCTAAAGCAGAGTATGTATTTTTAACCTAATCAGTTGCCTCTGGCACCAAATACTCAACTTTGCAGCTGTGGCCAGAAAAACATGGGTAAGGCAGATTTGAGAAAAAAAATCGCCTATGAAAGAAATACATTTTAATGGGAAAAATCCTTACTAGGGCCATAAAACAACAACAACAACAGGGGAATGGGGGTGGAGTTAACAGTTCTCTCTCTCGAGAACTTTTATATTGTTGACTTGCTTGGAGAGAGATTGATATACTACTATGCCAGGTCTCTTTAGGATACGGTGATAAATAGAGATAACCTGTAAGAGTAATTCACAACAGATGTATTCTGTTCCTGCTGACCAACTACCTTTGTAGGTTTAGATACCCACTGAGAGAATATCACTTCTTTCATTCATTCAATAAATAGTAATTGACCATCAACTATGTACCAAGTCGTGTTCTAGGTGCTAGGATTCAGCAGGAAATGAAA